CATCACAAACCACCACGGCCACAAGACTATAGCATCCTTCCTTCTTTTCCACATGAGACCCCTGCCACAGGTCGTGTTAAAAAATCCCAAGGTTCATCCAATCTCCAGCAAGCCAAATTCTTAATATTCAGTACTCTGGACACAGGAAAATATCTCAAAAGGCTTATTTTTTTTCACAGCAGAATAACAAACTAGCTTAAGTCACCCGGTGCTACAGCACAGCTGAGGTCTGCTTGTTACAAAACATCAACAGGTTTAGAGGGCTCCAGAGTTTCTTGGTGTGGTCAAAAGAACCATCTCACAGGCCAGCCTTGCAGTGCCTCAGCCCAAGAAGCCAGTGGCAGTGCCAGCAGCACCTCACAGATGGAGGAAGCAGCCCTGTCATCGTCCTCACGTATGACTGCACTTTGTCACAGGGGTTTCATAACTGGGACCAATGCAGCCAAACAAGGATGTGCAGCAGAATGATGGCAGGTCCTGTGTTTGAAAGCAGGGCAAACCAGCCAGCACAAAAAAGAGCCCTTTGAACAAGGCTTCACACATTGCACCATGCAGAGACATTTACTCTCCTTTGCTATGAGTACAAGAGAAGCAACACTGAGCTGCAGCACCAGTGCTGAGCGAGCTTTTGCATCCCCACAGCTGCTCCATGCTTGCCCATGCTGCAGAGACAAGGTGAGCACAAGGCAGGCAATGACAAAGTAACTAACCTGGTATTTCTAAGCAGAAACACATGACACAACAGTCCAAGAGTTACACAGGAGCTTAGTGGCTACAAAGAAAAATCATGCTGCTATAATAAAGAGTACAGAAAAGAGAAATTCTCTATTCATGGTTCCCAGTCTAAGGTTGAATGAAACCTTCACATCTTCTTTTACAGCAACAATATAGCAGAACTACAGTTGGGGTTGTAGTTGCAGAATGCTGTTACTGCCCATAAAAATGGTGTTACTGTTTCAGGATGAGCCACAGAGGGATAAAATATGACTGGGCCAGGGAAATCTGGGTGAAAAGGACTGTTACCTTACCAGGATGGCAAAGCAGGACAGAGAAAGATGACAACAAAGACTAACCAGCTGTAAGATCACTGCTTCACCAGACAGAAAGCTAAATATTGCTATATGGCTACAGAAATGTAAAACAGCACAGTGCAAGATAGGGAAAATTAGGATGCACAAAAAGGATGGGAAGATGCTGAGGGAGGCACACACAATGACTGCAGGGAATAACGAGGGCTGCACCTTCCAGAGCAAAGCTCTGAAGATAAGACAGTGACTTGTGCCAAGTAAAACAGGACCACGGAGGAGGGAGGTGCTGGAAAGTGATAATGGAACACTGACAGGGCGCTATAGCTAGGATATGCAGAGGCTCTCACGGAAAGCATGAAGAGGAGGAAGAAGCCTGTGGCAACTGTGACACGAAGAGAAAAGGGGAGATGCAGCTTCATGGGGTGAGGATGCCCTTGAGGACTCAAATACCAGGTAAATGGAGCAGCATTAGGGAGTAGGAGCCCAAATCTGACCTCCATGACTCCAGGCAAATATTACAGGGAAAGACGGTAAGGAAAAAAAGAAGACAGTGTACCCTGCTGAGCCTGGGTACACTGATCACTGAGCTGGCTAAAGCTCCTTGATCACTGAGCTGGGTAGAGCTCCCTGGGAGGCCTGAACCTGGGCACTGCGAAGGTGGCCTAAGCCGGGCTACTGGGGAGGGGAACTGGAGAGGTTCAGAGAGGCAGCGGGGACAACTCCAGGAGCCCCTAAGAGCAGTTTGTGGGGCGCTGGAAGACGCTGAAGGGCATTTAGGGGGCAGCTGTTAACGGGCACTTGAGAAACAGTTCATTATGGGGATCTCTGAGGGGCATTTTTGGGTTCACAAGTGGCTAGAAAGCTGTTGGGGGTGTTGTCAGGGGGGTCTCTGCGGTGTGGACTGGGGGTCGCCAGCAGGATCGGAGGGATGGTTGGGCTGTCACCGAAAACGACAGGATAAATAAACGTTTCTAACACAGACACTATTTGTTACAATTTAAGATTTTCCCAGCAGGGGGAAAGGGGGAAACGGCCGAGTCCCTGAGGGGCGCTTTAGCGGATGTGAGGTGGTCACAGGCAGACCCTTGAGGGGTCGTTGTGAGGGGAGCGGAGCGGGATGTGTGGGGGATCGCCGGCAGCTCCCTGAGGGACGGGCTCGGCGGCAGGCCCCAGGGGAAAGCTTCGGGGGTCTCTGGCAACTCCCAAAGCGGCGGCCCGGGCTGGAGGCGGCGCGGACCGTGCCAGGCGGGAGGGAGAGGCGGCGGCACCGAGCGTAACGCGGAGGCAGCGCCGGCCGCAGCGCCGCCAGGAGCCCGAGGCCCTGCCCGCGGCCCCCTCCCGCCGCACGCACCTTCTGGCGGATCTGCCCAGACGTCGAGACTTTGCGGATGAGCTTCTGCAGGGAGCCGGGCTCCTGCTCCGGCTCGCTGTCCGACGACTCCTCGGGCGCGGCGCCGGCGGCCGGCTCTGGCTGTGTCTGCTCAGCCCCCGCCGCCGCCATGCTGCACGGACCGGCGGCGCGCCCGGCGCCCCCTACCGGCTCCGCGCGCGCGGCGCCCCCCAGCGGCGGCCGCGTCGCATGGCGGCGGCGGCGGCGGCTGCGGAGGGGCGGGAGGGGCCGGGGCGGGGAAGGGCCCGGCCGCCCTCACGGGACGGTCACGGCTGCCCTGCCCCTCCGCGGCTCCCTGCGAACCGCCCGAGCGCCGATCGCAACGGCCGGGCCGCGGCTCCCTGGAGCCTGGACAAAGGTGTTGAGGGCAGCCCTTCCCGCTGAGGCGAGCCCGACAGCCCGGACCGCAGTCCCCGTTCCTTCCCGTTCTTCGTGGCTACTGCAGCACAGAATCGCTCAGGTTGGAAAAGATCTCTCACATCATCGAGCCCAACCTATAACCGAACACCACCTTGTCAACCATAGCAGAGCACTGAGTGCCACGTCCCGTCGTTCCTTGGACACCTCCACGGACGAGTACTCCCTGAACACCCCCTCCCAAAGCTCTCCCCGTGTTCCCAGGATTTAATGAAACGCTGGAGCACAGCCTACCGCCCAGGCTCCACCTGCCGTGCAGCCCCCGCCCCGAAGGGCACTCCAGGGGCGCTGATGCCGGACCCCGCTGAGGCGAGCACCCCCGGCCCGGGCCCGCTCCGCTCCGCTCCATTGGCAAGGGATGCAGGAAACATTCGCAGGTACCTCCCCTCGCCTCCCTAACACCCATCGGCTACGGGCAGTTCAGTGCTCCTGCTAGGATCTCTCGGAGATGTGCGAGGGGAAAGCGTCTGTCACGAAACTCGTCCTGTCATCTATTTGCTCCAAGCTGTATTCAAACACAGCACGTCCAGAGATGCCATCGCTCCCCGAACCCATCGCTCTCCGGGAGCTGGCGAGCTCTCTAGAGTCCCACCACATCAAAGCCGCGAAGTCAGGAAATTGGATCTGCTCTCACCAAGCGGTAAACAGGAGGAGCAGGCCACAGGTCTGACTCGGTAGATCAACATAACACCAGAACCAGAAGAAAGAGAAGATAAAAGGCAAACAGTTCTAGCTAGAGACCTATTTTCTACTGACAGAAGTCAACATCTACTGAGTGAAGGGCCGGAGAAAAGTCCAGCTTGTCCTGCAGGACAGGGAACTGCAGGAAAGCCCTCATTTCTCTCTGATCAAATGACCAGCATGAGCTGAACAAATAATGTCTCAAAGTGCTTTCCCAAGCCCAGACAAAAGAAGATTTAATAACCATTTAACAACCATTTCCTTCCCACTGCACAACAGAGTGCACTGTGATTTTGTCACACTTAGCTTACAGAAGTCATCACCCCAGCTGAATTTGAGAGGAAAGTCAGGCAGTGACAGAGGTCCCTCACAAAGCTGACATAAAAGAAGTGTTTAAAAAAGGAAAAAAAAAAAAAAAAAAAGAAGAATCAGATCTCTGAGTTTACTGGTCCCATACTTATAGGTCTAGTAGCCAGAAAAACTGTAGGAAATACCATTGTGGAGAAAGATACACTTTGAAGTAAGACAGGGAATCCTCTTCCCCTTCCTTCTTTTAGATCTTTAAAAGATTTTCCGAACTTCTGCTCTCCAAGACCAGTATATTCACAACCAGCAATTTGTTCAGCCCTACTGTATGTTCTGTGTGTTCTTGAGCCACCAACAAATTAGTAATAAAAATACGAGGGAAAAGCCTTGCCAGACATCCAGGTGCAAATGCCTGTCCTGACCCACTCCCAAAGCTGAAATCACACAGAAATGATCCTGATCACAAGCACCTGGAACTGGCCAGGTTCCTTTAGCTGCAGAGCAAACATTGTGGCTCTTGCAATTCAAGCTAAGGTGAGACACCTGTGACTAATGGACAGCACTGAGAAACAGGTGTATTAAGGGAGAGCACTGATGGAACCCTGAAGTCAGCTGCGATCTTAATTAACTGCTTCCAGCATCTTAATCAAGACAAGTTTACAGGAGCAAACATAAGTGTGAAGTTCTTAATTCTATTTTCCAGAGTGTAGGGTGGGAAACAGAAGTCTATATTAATAAATAAGTCTATATTAATAACTTGCATTCAGGTTTTTCCAGGAGAATTTAAATCAGGGACACTGAAAAGAAGATTTAAAGCAAAAATGAGAAAAATAAAACACCAGTTGTTTTACATGCTAAATGTAATTAGCTGATACAACTCCCTTGAGCAAAAACCTAAGTGAGATTCAGGAAAATATCCGACATTTACATGGATAATGAGAATATCCAGATCACCAAGAGAAAACAAAGTTTGCAAAAAGCAATCTCATTTCTTAGAGCATAAACCAACTGCTGGCAGATGTTGGTGAAGGTTCCTCAGGGAAGGCTGCACCACAATTTCCTCCTTAATTTTCCTGCACCCTCTTTTGAAGCAGTTGCCTACACGAAACTAGATTAAATACAGGCTCTGTCTGGACGTGTATTTCTGTTTGGCATTGTATATAGGGAACTTTAAGCAATTCATGGACAGTGCACATTTATCTCAACTTTAATAACATGGTTATTAAATATATTGCTAGAAAGCTAATACTGTGTATCAGCATTGTGCATGCTGTGGGAGACAACTTGCAAGATATTTACCGGTACAGAAAGTGGATGTAAAAGCCACACGGGGACAGTTCAAGTACTGAAAACAATCACTGGCTGAATTTGGTAAAGCATCAACGCAAAAGCAACCTAAAGGAAATAAAATCAGTTTTGTACAGTCTGCTGAGAAACTTTGATGAATCACTCGTGGCTGCAAGCCAGCCTTCCAGGCTAGGATTTGGTTCACTGGCACTTCAAAGTCACAGACTCTGACACTGAATAAGTCCAGACAGGCTGCATAAACCCTCATTTAAGCTCTCACCAGTGCTGAAAGAGACCAAACTTTTTATTAGGCAGTCCTGAAAGCAGAAGTCATGACATGGCAGACATCCTGTCCTCCTCTGCTAGCTCGAGTAAGAACCAGGTGTTTTGTTTGCTGCATTCCTCCAGAGGTGAATCTTGTAATAAGCAATGGAGATTCCTGATGTCATGTCCACTGACCTCAGGGCTGATCCCTGGAAGACCATGCATGAACTGAGAACGTGCAGATTACTAGAAACTTAGGTCCTACATTTGTAATTGAAGCCAGACAACAGAGCTCCTCTGTCAGCCTGTTCTTTTAATCACTCATCAGTTGAGGGTGAATTCTTGTCCTCTTCATCAGGTGTATTTTTTAGCTGCTGACGAGCAAACTCCTCAAATACCAGCTCTGCTTCACTGCAATGAAAGAAATACAGGTCTTTCAAAATGATGTTACCTTATTTTTACAGCAGCAGACTAGAGGCAACACACAGGAGGAAGAAGAGAAGCCTGCAGCAGACTGGTAGTGTTTCCTTTGTCTCCAAAGGGATTTAGATCACTTTCCCACAGGCACCCTCTTCACTCGTGCTATTCTAGCTAAAATGAAAAGCAGTTGATTGAGTAAGTCAGGGCACAAACTGAGGATATTTTCATCTGTACTGAATCATGTCCATTCCAGATAAATGCTTATCAGCTAGCTGAATAGCCTAGAGCCTGCAAGGGGCTTTGTCTGGGAATAAAATGTGAAACATTTCATCCTTACTCCTTCTATACAAAAAATGAGGCACATGGTCAAACCTCTTAAGTTCCTTACACTTCCCACAATAGAGCTGTTAGGCAGAACATGATCTCTTAACCTATCTTCACATGGTCAGTCACTGCTGTTTAACCCTGAACAGTCATTTGTCAGGCCACAGTAACTTGCTCACTTTGGATTTTAAGCTGAGGATTTTTGGATAGTTTTGAAGAGGTTTTTTTTAAAGAGTCAATGCACAAGTGTAGCTAGAATGTGAAATACTAAATGGAACTTACCCATCCTTCCCTGCAGTCATGAGCATGCAGCAAGAGAAGAAAAAAGACACACCGAGTAGTCAGAACAGCACATACTAAAACATTTGCAAATGTTTAATGCAAAAAATGTATAGACTTGACAAGTCAGAGCAGTGACAAGAAGCAGGACTTGCAGCAGTACAAGTTGAATTCCAGAAAGTCTCAAAATGTGCATACATACACCTGACGAGGCTAAACTCGAGCTCCCAAAAGGAAAAGCTTTCCAGCAATGCTGCCCAAGCTGTCTGAAGGGCTGAGGAACAAAAACAGATTTTCCCATCTACATTTGCTCATGGTCACAGCTGTGGGAGACATCTGTGCACACACCTGAACTCTGAGCTGACAGTGCTGTGATTGAAGAAGTCAGCTGAAGAGAAAATGATGCTCTTGTTCAATAAACATGAAGGTATTAAAATTAGAGGTCAAAGTACAGAAACACCTCAGGCATCTCTCATCAGATGGGTTAAGGCCTTTGGGGCAACACTCCTGATTTCATCTTGCCCTAAAAATGGTTTCAAAACCTTTGGCATTTGTGTTTCTTTAGTAGGATCTTTGCTAACCACACTATAACAAATCCTGCTTATTAGCAAGATTCCTTGAAAGCTGTTTCAGCACAGCCTAAAATAAGCAGAAGACTGTATTTGCAGGGATTTTATTATTCTCACACTTATTTTAACAAGGCATAATCACTTCACTGGCTTATTTCTCATGGCTTTGGGTCAGGGAGCAAAGCATCCTTGTGCTACAGAAGTCAGCAGCAATCTGGGGCACTTCAGTGACTGGATAACTCACTACCTGGAGATTTCCCATCCACAACACACACTGCAATCAAGGGCAACAAGCACTGCTGGAAAAGTCATTAAAAGTGTGCTAAAGGGGGGCTGGGGGGCACTCCAGCCAAAATGTCTCAAAGGGTGGCTCATGTAATGACACTCCTGATGGCATCTCTCCAGACGAGGACAAAAGCCAACATGAAGTCTGGAAAGTCTCAGGGCATGTATGCTTGATTGAAATGGATTTAAAATGAAACATTTAGAACTTCTAAAATTTCCAACATATAAAGCATCATTTTCATTCTATTTTTTCTCCAACTTTTTATTCTTTAGTCTGCTCTCTTTCTCCTCTTGGAGGTCCTTTCATTACTATGGGAGCAGTGATGTCAGTGATGTGGGTGAAGTGAGCAAGATCCCCACCAGTGATTTGAAACTTATTTTACAAAATGGAGTGAGGGGGGAAATAGATATTGTTTCAATTGGGCATATACTTAACTGTCAGATAAAAGATTACCAAGTCAATACACAGAGTGTGGCAGCAGAGTAGTGCTTATAATAAACCTCAGATGGAATATTGCATTCAAAGATGCACCACTTCAGGCTGCAACACTATCTCCAACATACTACAATTGCACCCTAGCAGGAGTTAGGTCCACTCCAGAGTTTTCTGACTGTCCTCTGGCTTATTATAATATTGAAAAATTCTCAGAAAATGGGTAGACCTTTGCTTCTTTTAATTAGCATTCCAGCAATTGTTTTGAGGGTTGGAATGGGAGGGGGATTGATGAGGGTCCCAATACCATGATGAATACCATTGTCCTCTCAGGGGAGGGTATTCTGGAAGCTTTTATTATGCAGACACAGAAATTATTACATATAATTCAAGTCATAGCATGTGGTAATTTTCAGTATAAATTTGCTTTCAACCTCTCTTAACTTGATGGGGGAGAAACAAAAAGAAAGTAGGTTTTGTTATTTTCCAAGACATTCAATGCTTTAAAATGTCCTAATTTCTGAAAGTCACAATACCAAAACAGGGAAAGTATTGCTTTACTGTTAGAGTGACAAAGCATTCCTGGGTTTCTTGAAAACAGCCCTTTTGTGCAAGTTTGCAAGTTTAATCAGGGAGCAGATAAATGACCATTTGTTGAACAACAGCCAAACCAAAGGCCAGTGTCCAAGACATAGGCCCACAAAACGTAAAACATCAGAAGATTGGCAGGAAAACTCCACAGCAAAGAACTCATGCTGAGACCACAGTCTTGAGGAAAATTCAGCAGGAACTTCTGGGCCAACTGCTGACCAGGAAAGGTCTTGGAAGCATGAAGAGACACAGCCCAGTTTGAATCTATCTTTAAAAGAAACAGATCCCTACACATTTTTTGTCAACAGGCGGAACAGACTGCCAATGTGACAGGAGCTGCTTTGCCTAAAAATAACCACATGTGAACCACATGGGTCCAAAAACAGTTGTAAAAACAGCACACATGAAACATGCAAATCCTGGCCTAGCAGAAGAGCAAGAGAAGGAAGCAATAAACACAGGAAAGGAAAGGTAGCAAGCTGCTTCTTTTTTGTGTCCTGCAGGCACAGGGATAAAAGATCAAGCGATGTGCAATAGCCATGCACTGACAGACCTGCTGGTTACTGAGTGATGAATGCTTCAGAGCTTGCTCACTGACAACTAGAGAGGGCAAAGCCATCTGCTGTGAAACAGAGCACACAGCACTTGCTCACACTTGCCCCAGCTTGGCCCTGAAAGAATTACATCATGTTCTTGGGAAATGAATGTTTCTGAGGTTCTCTGTACTCAGGTCAGCCCCACATGGTTAAATGCATTGATGCTACACATTTTACTTCTGCTATAAATCACCTTGACTAGAGAAAAGGATATTCCCCCACTGCAAAATATATCACAATATGTGGCATTTTTTAATCCCATTCTAGCTTTAACTCCATAAGATGGTTGCTCTGATTTCTTTCTATTCTTCCAGCTATGCCTTAAGTCAGTCAAGTGAGCAGGAAGGTGCAGTAGGCAAACTTGTCACTACTGACTCGTCAGTAAAAACAAAAGGGAATGGAAAAAGAAGATAAGGAGCGATCTCAAAACTCCTTGTGCATGTACCTCTGCCTACACCCACTGCAGAGGCTGCTGAACAAGACAACAAAGAAAAATTCCATCTTTTGGGACCTTCGAGAGTCCAAACACTGTTTGTTGAAGCTCCATCTCTGCAATTAAGCCTGGATTTGCTTGATTCCAAATTAGATGGTATTTCACTAATGAAACACATTGTGTTTCTCAGAGTTCATGAGCTAAAGTGGTAGAAGAAAAAATTAAAAAGCCTGAACTCACAACTGGGAAAAGCGATGAAGCACAGTGCATGGAAAACTACCAAGCAATAAAGCTGAGAAGTGTTTCAGTTTACCAGCTTCATATGGGAGACTGTATTATTCCCTATAATAAGCTCAAACACCACATTCCAGCAGAGTTTTCAAGTCAGCTATTCAGGCTTCAGAGGAATTTTCTGTTGTGTTAGAGTATCTTTTTTTAAGAGAAAGCACTTATTTCCTGTGTTAACCATTTGCAGGGCTTTCCCATGGGACAGCTCCTGAAATTACCTGCATTTTTTTTTTCAGTTTATAAGAAACCTGGTATTTCCATCTGTACAAAATGCATGGAGCATAGCTGACACTTCTGACAGCAAGCTCCTAGAAGACTTTGATGTAGCAAACAACATGTGGGCTGTGCCTCTGGTAAGAGGATGTGCTGGGGGAAGCGATCTGAGAAATATTGCAGGTCTCCATTTTCCTTGTAATGTCTTCTGCCCACATCCTTTTGAGTGCACTGTATAATGGAGTACATAATCCCTCCTTTGAAATGATCTTAGAAGGGAGAATTTCCTGACTTCCATTTTTCCTCATATTACAAATGCTTCCGCCAGAAGTAGAAAGTAATAAAAGGGAGTATCAGTATTTTTAACACCAAAAAAGTAATGTTTAAAAAAACAAAAATCACACCACTCTAAAAATGTAAAATTCTTTACTGTTGCCTAAACCTTTGGATGGGCCTTATTAGAAGTTTTCAAGCTTTCCTTGGTGCCCATGAAAGCTCCTGAGCTGCCCAGAGGCACTAGATGGCCCTCACCAGCCACACTCCTGGGATCACCAGTACCATCCCAGCCCCCACCACTTCTGTGCCAAGAGAATGTGCTGGCACTGCTCACAGCAGGGGTTTTCCCAGGGAAAATGAGTTTCCTGTAGTGCAACTGTTACAGGAGAGATAAAACCCACCTTTGCCCACTCCAGCACTTCAGTAATTAGAAAAGCCTGATTCCCAACCAGAGCATCTGAATGTGGAGTGAAGCTGTCTTCTCATTGCTCACACTTGATTCCTCCAACTATTTCACACAGTAAGGACTCAAGTCACCCCTTTCTAATGTTTCCACTCTTCCCCAAAGCATCTATCTCAGATAACTCTTCTCAAAGGTTCTACTGTCACTTTCCAGTTTCAAGTTCTTAGAAACAGCAGCTTTAGATTAGTTTGGACATAAAGGGAAAAATAAAAAGAAAGAAAAAGGAGCACAAAAGCAGCCATGGATTTTATCTGAAGCCCACTAAACTTTGTCCCAGTATAGAGGGTAGGACAAGATGGCTCATCTGGAACAGCCCCAGCAGGAAAAGGCTGCTGTGTCTGGTGGTCAAGAGAGGCTTTGGATGCTGTACAGGAGCTGCTGATTTAGTGTGAGCACCTTGCAATCTCTGGTGCTCACCACTGGCCAACAGAGCCAGCCAGGGCCTGAGGAAATGGGAGGATGCTTCTGTGGTTTTGGCAGCTGATCCTAAGCCTCAAGATGCCTGGGTAAGGCTTGATCCTCACACTTACAGAGTTCCCCCACTGCCACACAGAGAAGTGATAGAAGAGATGCTCGTCTTGGATAGCTACTGAACAAGAAGGCCACATCACAGACACCATGGCAAATGCCACATCAAGGTAACAGGGACTAAAGACTCATCAGAAGTTTTATCACCACTTTGCTTAAGAGTACTTGGCTTTCTTTCTACAATGCTCATGAGTGTTAGGTATTTTATGTGTCAGATTTTTTTTCTTTTTTGCTTATACTGCAATTTGGCTGGGACTTGCTGACAGCTTCATGTAGGATATTTTGCACTGCAGTCATGAGATTTAACTGTGCAGAACTTCCTCAAACCCCTGTTCTCTGAGCTGTGATTCCCTACATGAAAGATGAAAGGAAACACAACTCTTTTCCCTTTTCTCCCACCTTTGCATCCCTGCTCTGTTATTTAGTGCCTGGAGGTTGATACATGCATATATACATACATACACACACATACATATATATAGACACACAAACACACAGAATAGCTCCATACTGGAGCCTTGTAGGCTCTGAAGGTTTCCTGTAGCACAAATCACTCTAAACTTTACAATGGTGAGATTTCACCAGAGCCTGTTAATGAACAAAGGCAAAAACCAGGTGTAACTGACCTGCTGGGTTCTTTTCCTCAGGTTTAGGGTGCATGAGACGAAATGGCAGCTCTGTGCCCACTTCACTTTGGGGAGAAGAAAGAATGCATCAGACCCACAGCTCCACACACATGCCTGGTTCAGACTCCTTCCTCCTTAGGCCAGCCTGAGCCCTCAGCTCCAGTTTCACCCATTCTTTCATACTTTTCTAATCATAATTTTCCTCTCAAAAAAAATAAAGCTCTAATTTATTCACAAATATCCCAGGCATATTCACATACATAGACTGGGTTTATTGTGTGCTGAATGTACTTGTATGTATATAAAATCAAAATATATTTTTGTAATAGCTTCATTTTCACCACAAACTACTTGCTTCTAACATCTCAAGGGACAGTTCCTTTTTTTAGGGAGGTGGGAATGGCAGTAAGAAAGAGAATAAAAAGATGAACTAACAACTAGGACTGCATGGTCTGAAAAGAAAGATGACATTTACCTGGAAGTGAGGTCTCCCAGCATGCTACAAAAGAAAACAAGGAGAAAAATAAAGAATATTTAATGCCTTTCTATTCTGGTGCTCCAGCAAATGCTATTTAAATGGTGGACTACTGAAATCACTTTCCTAATGTACTGTTCTCTACCTTGCCACAAACTGAACTTGTTTTTAAAAAAGGTAGTCTTACTTTTTCATGTCACTCCCATAGAGAAAGAGTCTAAGTTTTTGAACTCCTGACCAAGTGTTAGGCATGGCCCATTTTCCAAGAGCCAAAAAGCAAGTGAATGACCACAGAAGGCAGCAGGTATTTTATCATGCTTTAGGCAGATCTTTGATGTATTTTTATACTAGAATGAAGGACAGATGAATTAAATACCAATGTAAACGGTGACTAGCATCAACTGAGAGTCACTGTCCTTGTCTTTTTTGCACTGTATCCTGGATCTAGCTCATGTTGATAACATCAGCTTTACCCAGAAAGCTAGCTGAGTACAGAACCTGAGCTATAGTATTTATGACTCTCAGGCAGATGTTTTCACCTTCTGCTGTGAGAGAACAGCAATGCCAACATAAAGGTTCACACAAAGTCTCACCTAACTTCCCACAGAATTGGTTATGGCTTCGAAACAAAAATTGCAATGCAAACCAGAGGTTCCTACTTCAACCATAAAGTTACATGGTATCTAAGGAGAGTAATACATACCCTTTGGCTCAGGACAAGTTCTATGGACAGGCCAAGATCGTTTTCCAGATCATTTATGCGTTATAGGGAGCCCCATATCCCGTAACATGTGCCCCTTCTCTTGGGGTGGACTGTTCTCGTCTCTTCTCACCCATCAATGACATAAACACACTCCTCTCCTTTAACTCCAGGCAGATGTAGCAAAAAGTGTGTTACACTTACCCTGGAACAGTGAGCTTCACTTTGACTTTGTAGGAAACCAGAATCCCCATCACTGTCTTGTCTATTCCATCCTTAATGCTGCCAGAGAAAACAGAGAGCAGTGTGAGGTGGCACAGCAGTATAGCAACAACACACACATGCAGCAAGAACTAGGGGAACATCCTGAAAGTGGGAGGGCAGGCAAGCCTCAGGTACAGCCAGTACTTCTCCAGATCTGTGATCACTGTCCACCCTGCACGAACACGACGGCATTAGTAATAGTGCTACATGTATCCATCTGGGCACAACTTTACATAAAATAGTGAGGCAAGCGTCTCCTCCATCTTCCCCCCTTCCCTATTACTCACTCACTACCTGGGACCACTCACATAGTACTAGAAGCCAAGTTGGTGTCCTCATCCTTCAATTTTCCATCCAGAGCTATTTCCCGTGTCTCCCGGTTATTTGCAAGCAAGGGCAAAAGTGTCAGTGTCTTGGTCAGGCTGCTGTTTGGCTGCACCTTCTCCCTGAAAATAAAAAGGGAAGTGCTGCACTGTGGTTTGTTACATACCCAACTAGGAGATTACAAAGCTGCCCAAAAGGAGAGGAATTTATCTGTTCAAATTCAGTTGTCAACAATACAGATGTCCACCTCTAATCTAGTCAGCAAAATTCCCGTTATAATCAGCAGAGAAAAACAAGCACTTATAGAAAATTCTTGATTTCACATTAAGGCAGAAAAGTAGGTCAAAACCACAGAATAACAGAATAGTTAAGGTTGGAAAAGCCTTTTTGATGACAAAGGTAATCAAAAGAGTGTGAAGGAGCAGGAGCATTCACTCACTGTGCTTCCTCAGTAGCCACCACTTTGGTATAGAAGTCACTGGAGTACAGCACCACATTGGCCACCTGCTCCACTGAGGGAGAAAGAAGAAAGCAATCACTCAGGTGTGTGCATGCACCACAAACAACACAGCTGCCCCCACCCCAAGTCCCAAGTATGGGAAACATGGTGAAGACAGCAGAAAACCCCATCCATTTAGAGCCTGAAGGGACCACCAGGTCAGATAGCCTGACCTGGACAGAGACCAACAGCACACCAATGGCTGAAGTCTGTCCTCCCTGAAAGGCACATGGCCTTGACTTGAAGACAACAGCAAGTCAATAACCCACAATTTCTCTTGAGATCCTCTCTTTCCATTATAAAGATGTCCCTCTTCCTTCTCTTTTGTCTCTGGTCCTGATATCTCTTGTGTGCCTACAGCCCATGCACGTGCATTCAGGAGACAGCATCAGTGCAGAGCCTGTGGTAACAAATGGCTTATATCCTCCAATCCTGCACAAAAATCCTAGGGTAATTCTGACTGAAGAGGAGAGCATCTGGGGCGAACAAGATTTTTTTAAGCCTAACAGAGGCATAAAAAAGAGCCTAAAAATATTTGTGAATCACAGTACATCCCAGACTGGCACTGAAACACCTTTCTCTGCTACAGTTCTGTAGGAACCTCAGACATTTTGTTCCCTCCCTGCCTTCTTTTCTCTTTCCCATCCTTTGTCTTTCAGACTGTCTTCCCCAGCTCTGCAGTTTGTGGGATGAAAACATGTAGTGTCACATATAAAACACTGGCACAGCAATGAAGCTCAACCCCTGCCCTCAGCTTCCTCAGGAGGAATGACACTGCTGCTGGCAGAGTGGCTGCTTCTCACACTGCCAGAGGTTTCTGGAACGCCAGGCAAAGCTGTATGTTATCTAGGCTCATTCACAGTTAGCAGGAGCACCATACTGACAGGGAGCCCTTCCCACTGACCTCCCAAAAAGGGTGGACTTTCCCTCACTTTTCCCACACTTGCATTGCCCACTGCAGGAGCCAGACCCTTTCTCTTTTTCTAGGGGGGACAATCTGGTGCCTGAAATTAAGACGTACTAGTAACCACAAGAATCAGGAAAAAAGCTACAGCACTTCATTTGATGAACAGCAAAGAAACAGCAACACACACGGGGAGGGACAAATTCCTGATATCCCAACTGCCTGCTTAAGTTGTTACAAGCACTAAATTCTGTCTTTTTTCAGTCCTATTGTGCTCCAAGAATCCCAAGCAACAGTAAAAACATACCCTGGACTTTGATCTTCTTCACTGTTTTCTCTGTGCTGTTGTTGATGGTGACAGTGACTGGAATGGGCTCACCATGGTAGTATACCTAGAAGGAATGTGATGCTCAGAAATCCAGCCAGGAGACTTCTAGCAAGCTCTAAACCCCTCTTGTTCCCTCAGATTACACTTCACAGAGACCAGGCAGGGGAAGATGATCCCTCCCAGCAATTCATGACCCTTCCTTCAATGACTTCAAATGTGTTTGGCAACAAGGTTTCGGCCAGCCCTAGCAGTAGCCACTGACAGAAATTACATTAGAGCCCTTGAGTGCTGGGACAAGTCAGCTGAGAAAGCAGCAAAATGCCCACTGGCCTGCAGATTATCACGATGTCCCCAGCCCCAAGGCAAATGCCCCCTCACCTCTTTACTGAGGCAAGCTTTCAGGTGCAGGGGCTTGTTGGACATGAAGAACTGCCAGGTGGTCTCTGCACAAGGCTGGGGTCCTGGCTTCTCCGGAGCATACTGCACCTTACGGATCAGCAGGCGTGCAGAGTTCCTGGGAAGCAGCAGAGGACAACATGACAACGTGACAGGTGACACCCAGTGCTTGGCAGGGACAGGAGCTCTGCATTCCCATGTGCTCACACCCAAGAGGTCACTGACAAGGGGGGGACAAAGCTGAACAGACAACCAAGGTGCATCACTGGACCACCCATCCCCTTTAAGGCAAAGCTGAAGAGAGACACATCCTGTTACCTCCTATGAACTCTCTCTTCCACATTTTCTGTTGAGAAAGCTTTCACCTCAAAGTCCACCCCACAAGTCTGCCAGAGAGAGAGAGGACAGTGTGAAATCAGGATCAGAAGACAGGAACGTCTGCAGATGTTTCAGTATCTTTCTGCACACAAGAAATCGGCAGACTCCTGCCAGCTGCAAATTATTCTGGCCTCCCACCACTGTCACAGACATCCATGACAACTGCATGTTGGCATATCCACCTGCTCTACAGTGCTTCTGATAAATGAGGCTTAATCCCAGCTTCTGAAAGATGACATCCCTGCTCCTGAAAGGCTTCCTGTGATACCAGTACTGGAAAGGTTATACCATGCTCTCTGGCCCACCCTGGTTTTCTGAACTGAATTTCTGAATTGGCTTTGTAGTGCCAAAACCAGCACCTAAGGAGTGGAAGTGACCATGCCAACCTAACCTTTGCTTTAACAGGGTTATAGTGTCATGTGGCACCTGTTTGAGTCCCAGGTAATTCTCTATAGAGACATTTTTGCTAGAATATCATTCTCTGGCATAAAGCACAGGTTATCCTTTTTGCACTAGATTCCATGACCCTCATCCCACTTTGCCTGGCTGATTGCCTAGTTCTGCTGTCCAGACAAGCAGCCAGTCAAGTATAAAAGGAATATTTTTAACAGTATCAGAAACCTTGCAGAACATATAATATTTAGTGATTTTTGCTACAGGGTTTTTGTTCTGTTTACACATACGTACAAGCCATCTCTTCTCTGCATTTAATTTAGGGCAGGTCTTAACACATGTTATTTATAGCAATCTGTGAGATTTTAGGCACTCAGTCTCCTTTCCTTTCATGTAACCTCACAGCCACAATCATTTTATGTGCAGCCAACTGACAAATCACGTGATAGACTTAAAGAATCTACAGCACTGCAGATTTTGTAGTCTTGTTGCCATTTGTTTGGATTCCCTTTCTTATTTGGAGGATTTCAACTCCAATTCTGTGGCACGTACTTGTCGCCCTTAGTTCTTGACATCTGTGGCACAGCACAGTAAAATCAGTATCACCTTGTCCTACTCTCAACCTAAACAAATTCACATTAATTTTTTCCATCTAACTTTCCTAAACCATGATAAGCACAAGTGTCCCATTGACCTCACCTTATCAACATCACGAGGTGCAGGCTGCAGACAGACTGAGCAAGGCAGGTAATCTGGAAACTGTAGGAGGAAGAAGAGGAAAGGCCCCAAAGCAATAGTACACAGAGGTTTTAGGTAACATACTGCTCACAAAAGCTGTCCTGAAGACAAGGGGTCACACATTCTAAAGCAGTAACCCTTTGGAATTCTGGCTAGTATACTTGCTTTGTATGAACAAATCCCTCTCTTCCAAAAATACTTTAAAAGTCAAGAAAGAGGAAAGAAGTCCATGCACAGCATGAATGTTCATCAGGAACACTAAGACAGACATATGACTGACAGCACTGGAAGGATTTCCTGTTAGAATTTGGCAGTCAGCTGTCATTTGCTGACAACATCTGGTAAAGACCTTTTCATCTCATTTGATCCACAATGTTTTTAAAGGAAAAGAATTTGGCACTGGGGCAATGGTAAAAAGTATTCCAGCCCCTCAGGAAGGGGAAGGCAAGGATATATGGGGCTGTTACTATCATAAAGCCATTGCAAGTTCCTTGCCTTTTTTAAGAAAACACTTCTCACAGTGCTGTGATCACTGCACAGTTAGGATCTTCTTGCACTTCACCTCTCAGGATTGCAAGAAGAAAGAAAAATACCACTTGTCACTCAAAATTGGAACTTGCAGAACATGAATTCACTGTTAATTCCCATCTTCAGTCCATCACCAAGCCTCAACAGCCTGGTAAGTACAAACAAGAAGAGAATCAGAGGCTATTCTGAGATACTTACTGTAAAAAAAAAGGGATAAGCATTTTTCCCCAGCTTTTTTAGCAGAGATTCCTGCAAGAGAGTGAGAGACTCTGGCTTGTCAGCAGGAGGGTACACCTGGACCCTGGAGAAGAACAGGTCCCGGCGGAAGGTGAGGCCAATCACATCAATGTCTTCCTGGCCATAGCGGAACGCGCAGGTCAGGGACACAAACACTGCGGAGAAGCACGGGACAGGTGAAACATGCAGCAGGGAGACAGTGAAGCCACACATCTCCTGCCTCAAGGAGACATGGAAATTCATTTCAACACTTGCATAACCCAGTGAGTACTCATCCCACGTGTAACAACATTGCATTGATAAGAAGCCCATTCACAGGGGAAGAGAGTTACATTTGTACCCTTAAAAGATTAAAAAGGTTCTACCTTAGCATCCCACTCAGAAAGACAAACAACTTCTGAGACATACACTGCAAAAAACCTCAAACCTTTTTTCCCCTTGATAATAGCAGGATCCACCAATACAACACCATCTGAAAGAAAGGGAAAAATCAAGACTTACAGAGGATAAGCAGAGTTGAGAGCAGGAAGAGCAGCACATAACCTTGTGGACTTACCCACAGGTTCCACATTCCCTATGTTGTCAATGAAGTCTCGCTTTCCCAGGTAGATGGTCAGCTGTAGGGAGAGGATGGCCACAGCTGAACTATAAAATGTTTGTGGTTGTTGAGGGAAGGGGGACACACACACATCAGAGAGCTATAAATCTTGCAGAGATTAGAACAATTCCATTTTAAATGGAGTATTTATTTTTTTTCCAGCAAACATGCAACCTCCACCAGACTCAACAGGATTATACATATTCTTCAGGACATCAGAACTGAAGACCTGATCAAGACCAACTCCCAAAGGTACAACACAAATACTCATGCATGGGACAAAGAAGTGTAGATTTCAAGATTTTTGGTGCTGTCGGGTTGGAAAGACAATAAATCAGCTTTGTTTTAAACATTTATCAGCAGAGGTAAAACCTGGGAGGAGAGTGAGGTGAGCTGCCTTCTCTTGTATAATAACACATGAAAATTTTGCCCTAGAAACTGTTTACATCATCTCCTCAAACTTGGTGGTAATATGGCTCACACTCCTTCTTCAGAAAAAGAATTAAGGGGACAGGAAAGAGTTTTCTAATAAGTCTCCAGTCTGACTACAGGTAAAACAAACCTAAATAACCCCATTATTACTGTACTCACAGCTTTGTCACGGGTGCTTTTCCTGAAGATAACTTGTTTTTGAGGAGAATCAGCATTCTTCCCACCAGTCTTAGTCTTTTGAGACTCAGGGCAGCTCATGGTCAAAGACAGGGATGTGACTGTGGGTGAAAGAAGCTTTTCTGTCCCAAAATGTCCTGCACCAGATGCCTGGGAAAAACAGGTGGATGAGATAAAAGCAGCAGATGAAGCCCTGTACACCTGTGCTGTTTCGGAACCCCTCACACATCCAAATGGTGGCTCTGTCTAAAAGCTACAAAGGTGGTTTGTGTTGATAAGGAGTCAGACCAGCCTCCAAAGGAGAACTCATCTGTCCTGTTGCATTTTCCTCAATAAGAACCCAGTGCAACCCATTATGGGCAGAGTAGCATTGAGCTCAAACCAGAATGCACTGTAAGGACAGAACAGTCCAGCCACCTGCCCAGAGAGGCAACAATTCAATTATACTTAGAGGTAGGGAACAGCTTGCACCTAAGGGGTAGAGAAAGGGGAGGGCACAAGGGCACAAGAGATATCCAGATAGAGAAGTCCAGAAAACCTAAGTGGTACAAAGCAGAGGCATTAGCTTTTCATTTTGTTGTAAGTAGTAAGATGAAGCATTTCCCCAGTTAACAGAAGATTCAAGGTGGCTCTAGAAATCACCAATATTAACTGAACCACAGGATTAGACACATTGAAGGGAAAAAGGCTTTTGGCAGCTGCTGGCCAAGAATCCAGGAGCAACCTTAACCCTGTAAGATTCTGAAACAGAAGAGCAGCATCAGGAAAGGATGAGTCCACAAATATCCTGTCCTTACACTCCTCACCACCAGAGCTGTGTGAATGACAGTACTGTGTTAGACAGAGCCCAGCTCTGATGGAGTATGACTGTCTTTGCCATTTTTTCCCATTCTACTTCTCCGCTTGCTTTCCCATTGTAAAACTGCTTCAAGAGTGAAATAGCTTCTAGGGCCTATTTGCGGACAACAAAGCATAGAAAAAGGAAACACTTGGCTTCTTGGAAAGCTGAAAAAAATCTAAGACAGATATTAGAAACAGATCATACACATGTAAGCATTTCTATTTTTATTAAGTATGCTTTTCAAACCCACACCAGTATTTGTTGCTGACTAGACATGATACTCATGCTGTAGATTCAAAGAATCACACCAGCAAATAACATTAAATACCTTGCTGTGTTCCAAATGGCACAGGAGCTTCCACGGACAGTGATAGGAACTTCTAAATTATTGAAGAAAGATGAATTTTTCAAGGCAGCTGTGTCCTATGCTTCTCTGCATCTACCAGAAGGAATTTCTGCCCTCTTCACAAACAAGGAAGACAATTTGTAGGGGATTTGAAAGCTCGTCTCTAGTTGCGCACATCCAGGATTTCAGGAATTAATCCCTCTCCAAGAGCAAATATTGTACCTGGGATAAGATTCAGCTGGGAAGTGGTTAAGTCAGCAACAACAAGGCATTACCTAAGGACACTCATGTAGTCAGTGAAGAGGTGTACAATGTCCTATTCACCTGTTTTGCAAAGACTTCAGACTTATGTGGCACAGGATTGAAACCAATTTATTCTAAAGCTCTATCTCCTCCTTCCAGGCTGCAAGACATCCAGCCTGGTAACAAACTGAACACACAAGAGCCATTTATGAAAAGGGAGTTTATAAAACACTAAAATGCCATATTGATGGACTGCCAAACACCAAGAACAATGCACTATTCTCATGATCACTAAGCAATTTATCTATTACTGCTTCACCAGCATCTAACTGACATGCTGATGCAAAACAATACTCTGCTGGTTTGTACAATCCCCTTCTTAATTTACTTACAAAAACACAACATCTGAGATTCAAGAAACACAGATACTTCAATTAACTTCAGCTTTTCTGTTCCTTAATCTTCCAAGAGTAGCTTTCTCCCCACCAGTGAATTTGGCCCTGGTATTTTGCATAACAGTATGTGTTAACTTTTGGCTTGTGAGCTGCAGGAACAGCTGTAGCTTTCCTCTGGCTGCATCTGTTCATTTTACAAGGATCACATGATAGCCTGTCCACTTGCCAGCCTAACAGCTCCCTCCAGCTCAAACAACCTTGCAGTCACAGATCAAGCTTGTTTTTCACAATCATTGATATTTGCCTGAATAGTGTCCAGGGCTACACAAATTACTCAAAAAAAAAAATGAATGACAGAAGCAATGTTCCTCAGCTCTTTCAGGGTTCAAGCAACATTTTATTAACTGGAGGTGTGTTATTTGGAGAGCTTAATCACTACTCTGTCTAATCAACTCCGGCAAACACAAACCAGCCAGGCTGGAACCACAGAAATTCACACGTGCCTGTGCTGCAGAAGCAAAGTCAGGTCCTTATTGCACGAATTAGGGAAGAAACCCCAGAGATGAATCTCAGTCACACTTCGCAAAAGCAAAAGGGAGGAAGCCGGTTTTATACAAATCTATGCTGCAGCCACTGCAGGGTCATTAATTTTCCAGGAGAGGATGAGCATCCCTGTTGGTACACGTACCATTGCAAACATCTTCAGGGGATCTTGGAAACAGCTTCTCCATATGCTCAGGTTCTGAGTGCACCCTTAATCCAGAAAAAGATGCCCAACCCACCCCCAAATCCACCTGAAGGGCAGCTCCACCTCTGGCAGCAAAACTGCTACAGCTACCTCTGTACTGCAGGTACCTTCATTTGCTTTTCTTCCCTCTGCAGGCTGAAGCAGAAAAGGAGGAAATAGATCAAAATACAAGAAAAAAAGGAAAGCTAAAATTGCTCATAAGAATTTATTACATACCTTGGTGCTAAGGAATTTCAATCTAAAAATGCTTAAGGACTTAGCTAGCTAGCCATAATCCTTCAACATTATTAACCTGCTTCATAACAGCACCAATGGGCCTAATAAAGCCCTTTGGGCAAGATCTGTGTCCATGCTGTAGAAAACCCTAAGTGTAGCAGTCTAAATTATAAACATCCTAAACCCACTCTGATCCTCCTCAACAGACCCTGCAGTTTTTATTATGCTAATCTCCCAATAATCTTTCATTATGCTGACTTGCCACTTCATGATCTGCTTTCCTGCAGTAACCAAGGTCACCTGGACTCGTGGCAGGTGCTTTTGCAAGGACCATCTGCCACTGCAACAGGCAGAAGAAAAAAGATCTTTAGAAACTGTTCAGAATGCCAACTTTCTATTTTTGCTACAGTTCTCACTTCCATGAGCTAGATAAAAGCTTACTTTCTTATGAAAAAAGGAGGGTGGCCAGTGATGGCTATTAGTTATGAAATCTGTACACTGAAGAGCTGAAGACTCCACTTCATTACTCTGAAGCTGGAACCAGAGCAACATCTTCAACAGGGTTTTTGTGTTTTTAAAGGAACGTGCAACTCTTATTCCTGTATTAAAAACTTGACAAGGCAGCAAAGTCTCACAGCAGAAAAAGACGCCTATTTTCAGCAGTGTTTGAAATACACATCCCGATTTCCTCTGTTCAGTAGTTTATCTAAATCATTCAACAATACATCAACCTTTCAAGGACAGAGACAGAGGCACTTGTTCAATGAGGCAAGAACTTCCTTCAGTCTCAAAGCAGGACTGAGACAGGGCAAGCCCAGGCTGCACCTGCAGGACATATAGCCCCAAGCTAAGAGCATTCTCCTTTTCCCCCTCTACACCAAATCTCACTATTCACCTGGAAAATGGTATTTCAGGTCCCCCTCTGCACTCATTCCAAACAAGATCTCACACACAGATGAACAAATAAATAAATCAGAGCATTGTGGGGTTTTAAAAGCAGAACACAGGTTTATTTACAATCAAGTTCTTATGGGCAGCTGAATAAATAAAAACTTTGCCCCATATACTCTAATTCCCCTCTGCAGAAGTGTCTGAAAGAAAGGCTGGGTTAGAGGGAGCCTGTCAGAGCAGCTTCCCCAACCCAGCCCCTCCAAAGAACACACTTCCATGGTAAAACACTATCGGGAAAGAAGAAAATAAAGTGCAAATAAAAAGGCAATAAAACGCTGGTGGCTTGTCTTGAGGCCCAGATGATGTGGAAAGGTTTGGCTGGGTAAAGATATGCCAGGTAGCTCACACTCAGTCACATCATGGTTTAGTGCCAGAACAGGACAGAGCTAAGACACTGCTCCATACCACAGAGGGTTTCAGCACAAATGGGAATATTGCACGTGTGCTCAAGAACGGGGCAAGTGGCCTGGAATTGCCAGCACCAAAACAATGGATTTGGGATTTGATGCCACTGCTCCCCTGTGTACTGACAGCCGCCAGGACAGGACGGATGAACAGAAAAAGGGACCAAACATCTGTATTCCAGGACTGAAGTCACAGGATTACTACATTCCTCATCACTGTAGCACAACTTCTACAACAACCTCAACAAGCTTAACTCTCTTCTCAT